AAAAACCTAAAAAAATATTTCATTTTACATAATATACAATAATAATTATTGTAAAACATATATTTTACTTATCGACGATGAAAATGTTTTTTAAATTATTTTATTGTAAATACTGGTGAATAAAAAATTTTTTTTTTCAATACTTCCACGACATAGCATTATGCATATACTGAAAAGTATTGTAAATCGAGACTTATGCTCGAACGTAATGAATTTGTTTGGTTTATATTTATTATTAAATTAATTGATTAATTAAATATTGACATTTATTCATGGGTCACTAGACGGTCTCAAGACTTGTTTTTATTTATATGCAGGATACTTCTTAATGATTTAATTTTAGAATTCAAACAAAAAAAATGTTTCAAAACATGCAACAATTACAGAAAAAAATTACAATTTTTAAGATGTTTAGTCTCAACTCCGAATGTAATTTATTATCTTTAATTACATCATGTAATGATTTTATAACTTCAACAGATGGAAGATTCATCTCAGCATCGAGACTGAATTAAATTTGGTACTTTCAGACATCCCTCAAAAAATAAAAAAAAACCCAATCTCATCTTTTACACCCCTTAAGAATGGGACACACCTGCGCGTATGATAAAAATAGGGAAACAGCATCCGAAAAACCCGCTGTAGAAACAACATATTTAATTGGTCTGAAACCTCCTCAAAACGAGCAGCGAAAGAGAAAAAGAGAGTGAGAGAGGAAAGAAAAAAATAATAATAAATCAGCCTGAGATCACAGCGGCCTTTAAAAGAGCTTACCCAACGATCAACACCGACATCTCTCCAATCGACGCACACTCGGCGCATCAAATCACTCAAGCCGTCGTCCGATGGCTCCCGTATTAGCGGCATTCCTCTCCGTTTTGGTCTACATTCGCGTTCACCGTTAACCATCGCTTTGATGGCTATACACACACATTCGGGGAAAAGGATTCCGGTTACCATCGTCAACGCGGCTATAGTACGGAAGATACACACTTATTGTGTACACGTGTACAATACGCGCACACGAGTATAATATTTTTCACAGCTCCAGTATAAAGTGTTCGCGTGACGGTGAGCTATTATATCTGTACATTTTGCGCGAAAAATTCGCGTGTAATTTGACGTGCATATATACGTATATAAGTATGCCCCACCGATGTATATATAGCTCCCGGGCACTCTCTCTTACATATGCGCATATAATACATCGACGCTCCGTGTGTTTGTATATGTATTGGGGCAATTTTTTCGCCAAGGGCCCCCGGTCGCGTGGACCCCTCTTAAACTATTACGCGTCCACGCCTTCTCCGGCCCTACCATTTTTCATTCCTTCGGCTTTTTTCGGTTTTTTTTTTTTTTTTTTTTTTTTTTTATTATCTTCTCCTCTACTTCTATTTATTTTGGTTCTCCGGTATATATGAACATAATGAATAACCTCGGACGCCTCGCTGGTGGATTTAATATATGTTATGCGTGTGGATTTATTTGAAAGTGTGTTTTATTATATTTGTACAGTTGGAATTACAGTGCCATGATCATGATTAATTTGATCCGTCGTTTGTAATTTTGAAATGGTGTAATTGATTCGTTCGATTTTTTTTACCTTTTTTTGTATGTTACGTGATGTTTTAACGCTGCGAGAAAATTTTACAATACCACATCCCGGAGCGATCGTCAAATTGCATCGTTATTAACTCATTATGATACACTTGTATATCCCAGAGAACAAAACAAAAAATCATAAAAATAATTTCAGCTCCAAAGTTTTAGACAATTTTGTGAACATGACTCAAGGCCATGTATTTAAAATCACGTGATCGGCAGTTAAAAAGAGTACGAGATTTTGTAAAAAAAGCCCCTCTCTCTGCATAATTTCATGCAAAGTATAGACTATTACAAATTTTTTAACATCCCATGGAATTTCGAAAAAAAAAAAATAGAAGGTACCTCGCTTGTATTTTTTGCTAGCCGTTTCAAAATTCGGTATGTGGTAATTTTTTTTTTTTTTTTTTTTCAAGACGTTCATATTAAAAAACGGCGTAAATTGTACAAAAAATTTTAATTATTGATACAATAAAAAATTGCCTTGATCTTTGTTTCGATAAAAAATTATCGCAATTATGCATTTTTGCACAAACTATTGATTACACAACATTAATACTACTTGCGTGAGATTTTATAACTAAAACGCCAAATTGCAAACACTCTAAGGCTTCATTTCCAGCTCCCAGCTCAAATTTCGTCGAGTCTGCTCTTTCGGACAAACAACTAGAAAAATGCCATTATACGTGTACTTCCAAAAACGCAACGCGGTGAAAAATGAAATAAGATATCAGCGGGACACCGAAAGCCATCGTCGGGAAAAACTTAATTCGAGCGGCCATACGATGCATCTTTCGCTCCCTTAAGTATAGACAACTCGTTGCAAACCGTACATGTATATATAGACAGTGCAAATGTTATGTACACTGTAAATCAAAGTACACGTTTAAAGTATGTATAGTCGAAATTTCGGATTTTTACAAAACTAATTGCAGTAGTACATTGATAAACATATTAAGAAAAACCAATGTGACGCCAAGCAATTGATTTTCCTCAACAATTGAGGTGAAAAAACATCCCTGCCATAGATTTTACACGCTTGTAAGCGCGTATTTTTTACTCCAAAGCCTTTCTGTAACCAATAACCCACATGTATCTTCAAATTCTTATAAACGCCACCGCGCTGCACTTCACAAAGGCACACGCTTTATCACACTTGGATTTAACAGCGATGTCGCGAGTACGAGGAGGAGAATTGAATTTTGCAAGTGTATATATTTATATACACACGGAGGCGTGGATGCAAAAGTGAATGAAACGGCAAAGCGAGTATACACGATGAGATCGGTAAGACACGGGGTTGGTGCGCGTTTTAGCCAGCGTGCAAATAGAGGGGAGAAAAAAAGGCAACGGAGAAGAAGACGAGGAAGAAAAGGCAAAAGACGAAGGAGACGGAGAAATCGGGAGAGTGGGAGGGAGGGGGGAGGGGGATCGAGCGAAGCCGGGGGTTAGCCGGCTGGCGCGGGGGCTCGGCTACAGTCGATCTCCATCCTTGCCGAGCGACGGACGGGCGTATTGTTGTGTGCACGCGCGCTCGGGCACCGGGACGAACCGACCGATCGATCGTCGAGTCCTCCGTATACCGCGGCAAGTATACACACGGTATAATTATTAATCACGCGGCATGCCGGGTGATTGTCGCGACGCCGGTCGGTTGGCACTGGTGGTGGTGCTGCTTCTGGATCTCGGTGTTGGGGGAGGTCGGGGCCTCGCGATGGCCAACAGCTCCGAGGAGAGTCCGCTCCAGCGACGGATGGCCAGCTTGAGCAGTGGCCACGGGAAACCCAGGCCGGAGAAGTACTCGATGGCCGAGGAGTTCAACTTTACCGGTGTCCTGCAGCCGGAGTACCAGATGAGGGCCACCCTCAAGCCGAACGACGTGTCTCAGTGAGCGCTCTTTTCGTCATTTCCACTTTTTTTTTTTTTTTTTTTTTTTTTTTTTCATTTCCCGAGTTTTTGTGGCTTTTTTCCGTTTTGAGCGAGTTTTCACGCGCACGGGGAGATTTTTCTACTCGGATCAGCGAGGGTGTTTCGTTTTTCGCCAACTGTCCCACCAATACCTTCGGTTATGCGACAGGTATCTATCTTCATAATTGGCATCGGCAACTATTATTAGACACTTTGGTGGTAAAATTCATACAAAATGATGGATTTTCCACATAATATGTGGGATAAAAAAAAAAGTATGATATCTATGGCTCGGGTGAATTAATTGAATAAAGTGGAAATCTAAAAATTGAGATATCGAATTTCAATAGCGCGGAATTCCAGCGATTCTTTCGAAGAAAAAGAAAATAAATAAGCGATAGCCGGCTACAATATGTTAAAACTAATTTAAATCAATTAGATTCGACCGACATACAAAGCTCTCAACCGGTCGACCAATAAAAAAACCTTTTATTTTGGCCAATGGAGCAATCATCCGCATGTGAAATCTGTTACCAAGTTCCTATTAGGCAGACATATAACAAATGCACACGGCCGATGGTATGGATCTAAAACTTTGAATCGTCACATTCGTTTAATTTAAACGACTCGGCATCACTACATACATCTCAATTAAAAGCAAAGGCCCCAAGCGCGTGCGAGGACACGAGTAAATCACAATCTTGGTAACTTATGCTCCCGTGGATAAATATATCATCACCTGTAGCCCCATCTTGCGTAGGAGTGCATTCCAGCTATTGAATTTTTTTTTTTTTTTTTTTTTTTTTATTTACTCAAGCTTGACTTTGATGCGTTACTCAACCCTGCAAGATTTATTTCTACTGCACGCGTGTCGGAAGCAATGCCACGCTGAGGAAAATATTTTTTTGACTCTCCCCTACTCTTGTAGTGGTAATTGTAGGTGGCACATAATGTCCCTTTCGTAAAGCAGTATATCGAATCGGTGCACTTGTGAGAAGAAAGTCCGCACGAAGGAGTTACGAGGGAAAAAAAGTAGTTAGGTATACGCACGGAGCTTTTAGACCGAACGCGAACTTGAGCTTAGCGACCTTACGTAACTCGTCTACGGGTGTATGGCGTATGCATATAAATATACGTAAGCTAACCGGTGACAATGACTCCGCTTGCTCGATTCGCTCGTTTTCCTTAACTGGGTATACAAAAGAGCCGACGTGAAATAGAGAGCGAGAATGCAAAGCATGTCCATGTAATACAAGCGCGGGCGAGATGCCAAAAGTTGCCACGTGCTTCAAAGCGCCGGTGACCGTTTCTCTCTCTCTCTCTCTCTCTCTCTCTCTCTCTCTCTCTCTCTCTCTCTCCGAGCTTTGTCGCTTTTCGATCTCCCTCAACCTTCGTTTTATCTGTAACCGATGATGGGACGGATACGCGATAATGAAGGATACAATATAATATACAAAGAGATCGGATGTCTCCTTCCGTTTTTACTTTACTTCCTCTTTTTCTTCTTCTTCTTCTTCTTCTTCCCCTTTACACTGCCGTGCCGAGCTTCGAGCGCTGGCTTTGAAGTTGCAGAAAGAGAGAGAGAGGGCGCAAAACGAACCTCGAGCTTTTTTTCTTTTCTCCCTTTTGTTTCGTCCCTTGGGACCGAGAGATGCCATAAATGTATATCAAACGCAAAATCGCTCTCTGATTGCGACCCGCTCAAAGGCTCCTTTAACGTATGCCCACTCGACAACGAGACCTTGTCACGCAAACGAGCGTCGGAACGCGTCGCGTGCGCGCGTAGAGTTGTATACATATATATTTAGTTTTGCAAGCTCAACTTTTTGGAGGAGCTTAATTTTGCGCTGACAGTTTTTTTTTTTTTTTTTTACGAAACGAAGACAGCAGCGAACACGAACTATTTTGCGTTTGCGTGGGTGCATGGATTTTATTTGTGAGATTTGGAGGAGCACGACTTACAGGTGCCAAACACGAAAATGGCACTCCATCCGTACTTTGTTCGAGTATATATTTATATTTTTTCCAACTTTGCGAGAGTACTGTGACGTTAGAAAGAAAAATCAATACCAATACTCTGCTCTGTTTTCTTGGTTGCTTAATAACATAAAATAAATCGACGGTACCCCTCGCAAGCTTTCCTGTGCACGCGAGGAACGTAATGAAGAAAAAAATCTATTCTGCCACTTCGTCTTCCCTCGATTGCTAATTAAAGAACTTTTCTTTAATCGAACAAATTACTATTATTACGCGTCTGATGAAAAACCAACGTGCAATTCGCTCTCCCCGAGTGCATACAAATTACTTTGTATTTCGCAATTTTTAATATCAAACGCTTAAAAACTCATCCATCTCGGAACCTCGGAGGGAGGGGGGGTAGTAAGATATTTCAATCAACCAAAATTACAGGCCAAGAGCGAATTTATGAAATTAATGATGAAAGTTAATAGTCGCGTTCTCGTTTCTCTATTCATGCTTTCTCTCATTTTGCAAGCACTACGTGCATACATAATATTATATATGGGAGTCGATGCGTATACTTTAATCATTGGCATCCCCTCTATTTTTCTTATTTACATGGCATGTGCCTCGCGATACGTAAGTTTCAAATTACCCCCATGAGTTTAACACAGTTTTTTGATTTGTAAAAAAAAAAAGTTGAAAAACACACATGCATCGGAACGCAAAAGGGGAAAAAAAAAACAAAAAACATTTTTTAATTCCATAACGATGCAAAATTATATAGTACCGGCACAACTCATCGTAATTGCCAGTATATACGTGAAAAAAAAATTTGCTCGCATTCTCGAAAACCACTTTAATTTAAAATTTCACAAAAAACGAGGGGCCAAAGAATCAACATCGAAAAACCACTTGTCAAAACCGAGCCGACAGTTTCGAAGCGCTGCGACGACGGACGGCGCAAAAGAGCCGGGAACTCGTCGCTCCGACAACAACTCAGTGTGGTGTCTTGCACTTACTAATAGCTCTTCTACTTCACTCCAACTCCAAAGGGGGAAAAAAAAAAAATTTAAGTATGAGAAACAAAAACAAATGAAAGGGCCGATGAAGAGGGAAGCGAAATTTTCGTCACTCTGGTGCTCGTCATCTGTCCGTCGTTACGCGTTTACGGTATACATACAATATTTGCACCCGCGTACGTATATATATATATCCGAACAGAGTAATAATCTCGCCCGTATGGCGAGCCAAACGACTCGGTGCGTCGCGACGCCACGCGCCATAAAGCTTCATTTATTTTTTTCCTTCTTTTTCACCACTCGCTCTTTCATTTTCTCATTCATCGTCACTCGTGTCTTGTAACGCGTGTGTACACGTGTCATTCACCTATACAAAACATCGTATTCCTTTTATATGAATATTTACAATCATTTTACAATTGCCCTATGCTCATCTAGGGTGCGCTTTTTTACTTTTTCGTTTTCATACCGATACTTTGATCAATTTAAATGCATTCATTACTAAAGTGATCGTATACACCCGTTTAACGTATGCATGTCTGCAAGCTCCGTCTTAACTCTATATGGAAGAACTCGAAAGCTCGACTTAAACTTGAAACCGCAATTAAAAAGCATTGCTGTAGGCACAGCTTGAAAACTTAAATCGATTGTTGCTCTGATCTTCCAAAATTTCTCTGCACCCTTACACTCCCGGGCGGATGTTAAAAAGAAAAACCGATTGGCATCGATGGGGGAAAAAGCCGATCATCCGGTCGACTCCCAGCCACTAACGCATATCCGCTCGCGTGCCCGTTTTATCAATGCGAGACTCCCCAGTGATTCACAACGCGCAGATGTATATATACGTCCGCATGTAACTCAGGCTGCACGCGCCCAACTCTCGCAAGCTCCGACAAATATAGCATCGCGTGCTTACGGGCGGGCGAGCGCGTGAATCGTCATATGCTCTCTCTCTCTCTGCTGCAGCGACCCCAGACGCCGCGACGCCGACATTGTGTCCCAGCGCTAATTTTACAATGGTCCCCATATAACCACCCCGAGGGAGCCTCGTCGTCTGCGTTCCCGCGAAAAACAGTCTTTCTCCGACTGCGCGATAGAGCTTTGGGAGGGAGGGGGGAAGACGACGGCGGGCTCCTTCTGGTACACAGCTACCGATTCTCGAGAAGCTGACACGTCGAAGGAGCTATAAATTTTAAATTACCGCGCCAAACAAGCGGCCCTGCAACTTCTAGCCGCGTATATTTATATAACTCGCCGTATGGATGTGTGTACGGGGAGCCGGACCTCCCTCTATACCCTATACTCTTTGCGAGCTTTGGCTTTGTTGTCGTTGTTGTTATTTTCCATCATGGTTTGTTTTTTTTCTTTTCTTTTCTTTTTCATTTTGCTAGGCTATTTTTGTTTCGTTTCATTTTTGCGCTGCTACAAGAGCAAACGGTTGGGCGCTTGGGGACCGTGATATATAAACTTCGAACTTTGACTTTGTTGGACTATGTCGGGTGAATCGACTGACAAATATTTCAACGACTGAGGAGTTGGTTGGGCGTAGATGATTTGAAATTTTTCCTCCACTGTTCACGAGAAAAACTGGAAATGCTATTGGGTGTAAATTTAAAATGCAATGAAAAAAAAAAGCTGTCCATTCAGCTCAATGCAGCTAAGATAAGTAATAATAATGACATGTATGATGATGAAAATGCGATTGTAGCGAAAACAAGGTTTTGCTCTATTGCTTCCACGGGACGAAAAACCGTGAATGAATTAAAAAAAAAAAAAAAAAAAAAAAAGAGAGAGAGAGAGATTTCACTTGGAGAACGGTGTCGCGCGTGTGTACTTATCCGCGCTCACTTCCATTATCCCGGGCGGAGAAAAATATAGGAATTTATCAATCCATTACCGAAGTTAAGTGAGCGCAAAGCCAAGGGTAATCCCCGCCGATGTGCACTTGGGCTTCTCTAAACATTGGGAAGCGGACACGCGAAAATTTTCTGCTCGCGA